AAAGCGAATATTGCGTTACAATGGAACATTCATGCTGCGCGCGATCTTTTCGAATATACAAGGTGAGTCGATAAGAAATAATATCTCAATAAACTCGTTACCTATTGCTTATTTCAGAAAACGTTTTAAATAGCATTTTAAGGTACGCTTCACTTGGATACAATTTGATATTTTTATGTTATTTTTTTTTAAATATCAAGTTGACTGAGTTTTTTTAATGTCCATGCACCTTTTTTTGAAAAGCACGTTGTTACTGATGGAAGGACAAAATCAATGACTTATATCATAGTGCTGTTAAAAGAAATATGCATTGACCTTGAAAAACAATCCGGATCACCATGGTATCGCAAAATAATAAGATATAAAAAAATCAAATTGTATCCATCCAACGTGTCCTATAAAATGCTACATAATTAACGCGTTTTTTTATACAACCGATAGGTAACGAATTATTTTAGACAGTACAGTACATCCTCGATGAGTGTTCGAAAGTTCCTCAGTACTAAAAAGGAAAGGTGCCCAGGTGTAACGCTAACTTTTTAATGAGGTTTAGTGCAGTGATAGAGCTTGGAATTCTGGAGCCAATAATATTTTTGCAGCCACATGTGGCCATTAGTTTATAAAATATCTAATATCCAGAATTTACTGTAATTCTTGTTGACTCACCCTGTGTATGCGTCTACTCAATAATTCTCGATTACATATTCGTGTGACTACGATGGAAGCTAACTCCTGTCAAAGTACAATACACAAGAATGGTACATCAGATCCATACAGGTGGCTGAGATACCATGGCACGTTGACAGAAACAGAAAGCTCAATTTCACCCTTTGTCTTCGCCGCCATATTGTCGCATGAGTTGCTCTTTCGTGAGGCAGCCTTGTCCGAATTAGAACCAGGAGGACATATTACTCTCTCTAGGCATAATGAAATTGTTCCGTTAGCCGCCCAAATTGGGCCAGCGTTTTTCGCGTAATGCGAAAGCAACACCATGACGCGCGAGAGCAGGACCGATATTAAATTTTTCTTTTCCCAGGCGTAACGACCCGCGCAAGAATCGTGGGAATTGGGGGGAGGTCTATATATTTACCGCGATCGACACGATATTTATTTCGTCGGTGGAAATCAAGTGACTGGTGCCGACGGAATCGACGGGAGGCTAATTAAAAATCGACGTTAATTTCGGTTAAACGAGATCCACGAAATAAGGGAACACTCGAACATAATCTGGAACACATTTCAGCCTGGTCTTAAAGGGGTACAGAACTATTGAAGCTTCAAAAAACCGTTTTTTCCTTTATTATTGATTCTAAAAGCCTCCTTCTTTGTGAACATTTACAAAAAAAAAGTGCCACGAGAAAATTCGAATTCTTACGGCAGTTATAGCACTGAACGTATTTTTAGACGCTCTGTACGTCGTGAACTTTTCAACGGATTAATATTTTCACTTGAAATTTTACTTGAAAGTATAGAATTATATCTTCTATAACGTCAAACTTGGAAGTCTGAAGATAATGATATTTGTTTCAGCCGCATATGGCCACTAATTTATTAAATATTTAATATTCAGTACCGAGGAACCTTCGAGCACTTATCGAGGATTTATTGTACTTTGTATCAAAACAATCCATCACAAAAGGAATCACCAATTTTGCATGTCTAATAGTTCTATGCCCCCTGAATCGATAAACTCGACCCGAAAATACAGGTAATCGTTTCACTTAACGTGTTAATAACAAAGCGAATGTCAAAAATTTTCATGAACACACGAACCCGGTATACAGCGCGGAATTTATTCTCGTCTATAGGATCGTAAAAGCTCCGGGGCTGCGAAGATTGAAGCTCGTTCAACGCGAGAGGACTATATTTATCAGTCTAATCCTCCAGACGAACGCTCGAAAAGCTCCATCGCGAGGCCAATTAATCCTCGAGGTATTACCTGGCCCGAGCTTTCTGACACGCTGGGAGGAAAAAGAGAGGGAGAACGGGAAACGACCTGGACTGTCCACGAGTGGGAGGACAATTTTTTTCTCCTCGGGCACGGTAGAAACGACAACAATGTCGACACGTCTCGGTTGGTCTCGCGCGACGTTGATTCCTGATGGACTAATTTCCGAAATGGCGGCACGATTACGTCGGAGCAAAGCCGCGTAATAGCGCGAGCCGGCGCGTTTGCGAAATCGAGCGTACATTTCCACTCGGTACCGCTCGATTTACCGTCGGTTCGTGTCTTCATTTTCATCCGTCGGGGCTCCAAGAGGAAGGCTTGTTCTCGTTAAAAAAAAAAATAGCGACTAACCGCGGACGATATTGTTAAACCAATAGGATAGAAACGGAGACAATTTAGAATTCGTTATGAAGAAATACAGATACGTGGCATGACTATAAAACCACCGTAAATTTTTCAATTCTTATGTATTGTAGTTAACCTTAGAGGTATTTTATGCCCATTTGAATTCTTGGATTTCTTTCATGTGTAACGAAATAATTGTGTGTGGCTTTGTTTTCCTTCTTTGTGAATTCATATACAAGGTGTGTCAATAAAAAAAATACAATATAATATAGAAGGGAGATTGAGAAATATTAATTTACAAAAAGTGTTGTGGAAGATATTAGAAAATTCGTCGTTGTACCAGAAAAAGAAGATATACCGACCAAAATTTTGACGAAAAACGTTGCTTTATGTGTCCATCCAGAAAAGACAGAAAATGTGATAGAGCTTGTGTCAAGTGTAACAATTTGATATGCAAAAAACATACAATTTATATGTGTAAAGAATGTGGTTAGTAAGTTTTCATACTAATATTATCTGTATTTTTATAATGGTGCTGATTTATGAATGCAATAATTTGTTTTATATTGTGTAAGCTGCTGTGGATCCTTTTCACCCACGATATGTAAATCAAGGTATACCATGTCTGAAATCGCGTTGAGAAATAATGATAATCAGAAAAGGATAGATTATGTTCCTTAAAAAAATAAATGATTCGCTCTTATTTCAATCACACTACATAAGGATTGAAAATTTTAAGACAGTTTTATATCTATGACAGTAACGACAGACTATAGACTGGTCTGTAGTACTTATAACGTCAACTTCTCAATCACAAGAGTAGTTAAAAATTCATTAGAAGATAAGTCAAGACCTTTTTTTCATTCGCAACGGTACTATCGATCCACCTATAACAATACCGTTTGACTAATGCCCGATCTGTACTACTTAAAATATTTCTCCTTGCAACCCAGATACTAAAATTGATCCAACAGAACAGAAACGAAGAATACTTCACATTTTCAGTTGAAATATGAATAAAAACCGCTAACTTAAACGCAAACGGCTGACCAAAGGCAAACCTATAATACTGGGAGAACGCTGACGAATAATATACCGTGGCAAGTTTAAAGAAGGAAGAGAAATTTTTTTCTACCTCTGCGAGAGCTGCGGTTCACAGATCTCTATATCCGCGTAATTCACGTACGCGAGATGAAACGCAGTCCGAAGATTCCGCTCCAGAAAGAAAAAAAAAAAAGAAAACGTGGCGAGCAACTTCTCCACGTCGGGATTACCAACGTCGCAGAAATGGAATAACTTTTTTCCGCCCCTCGTTGTTAAGCCGTTATCGTTCGTCTCTTTTATCGCGGAGTATTTTAAATTACGGTCCCTCGCATCGGCCGTAAAACTACAGTCTGCCATCAGGCGGACGAGGCACGCGAAAAGAGGGAGGGGGGAGCGCGCAGACCTCTCGTTGGAGCTCCTGTAATTTCGATGAGAGAGAGAGAAAAAAGGAGAAGGACTGCCCGGGGAAAAAGTTGCAACAAACTTCCGGGAGCTTTCCATTAAACCGCATCACCAGGGGCGAACGTACGTACGATCTTCTCTGATATGGAAACGGGAACGAAGACGCTTCTTCTGCCCCCACCCCTCCCCCCACCCCCCGCCCTTCGCGGAACAAAAAGACGGGAAAGAGAAGGTGAGAAATCATGAGCAGATAAACGATTTCTGATCTTGAAAATACGACGATGGAATTGGAGAAGTTCCACGTTTATCGGCTCGGTGTGCGGGAAAATCTACCATAGGATCGTTCTGCGATTGCGATTTCCCGTGAAAGCTTGAAGTTCTTCGATTCATAATTTCTCTCTCGTCTTTTCTTCGTGCTGAAATAGGAAATAAATTTCGCGAAGTTTCGTGCCGGGAACGAAAGATATTAATGAACCGACGGAGATTCTCTGGAATTTTAATTAAGGTCTTGTACATTAAAGGTTCAAGTCCGAGGAATGAACGACATGTAATACTTGGAACCAGAGAGTTTCAGCTCAATTACGCGATTTATTCCTGGGAATTATTTCTCGTACGACGACACCTGTACGTTTCGACATCGAGTGTGTTTATCGCATAGTGGGACAAGTAGCGTATCTAGGTGGACAAAACCCTTTAATTCGATGAGTTCAGAACTTCATCAATTTTGGGAATAAAGATATTATATGATAGTATTCAAAGATTACATGCAGAACTACCCTTGAAAACTTTAATAATAGATATAGATTAATAATAGATATACAAAAAAGATTGGGAAACTATGAATCTACAGTAAAACATATTAACATTATGAAAACAAGACTCAATATGTAACCATTCATCACTTAATGAATAAATGAGTAAAAAATAAAATGTTCCAATCTATTACATTATACTATTATAAAATAAGATATTAAATCTTTTCCTACATGTATATTCAAGTACATGTATATGTTATCATTTATTTCTACATATTATGTCTTGCTATAATAATCACCATAGACAGTATATGCATTAATAAAAAGCAAAAGAAAGATTTCGATGTGAACTACTTCCAGACATTTCTCCAGGTACGCTATTTGTCCCACAGTCCATCGGTCGTACCCGATCGAGTTTAAACCCGTTGCAATAATCACCATCGTGTATCGAGCATCATGAAAAATGAGAAATAAAAAAGAAGATCACGAGCAGACAGGCCACTTACCTTTGTGCGGTATTAGCGGCCACGGATGTAACGGGGAGCCGGCAACCAGCCAGACACATGCCAGCAACACTCCGAACATTTTCACCGCCCCCATCCACTTCGGACAGACAGAAACTTCCGTGCTTGTCCTCCTCTCCTTCCACACACCCCCCCTCCCGCCTCTTCAACTTCCTCGTTCACGTTGCAGTCCGTTGTTCCCTTCTTCTCTGCCCCTCATGAATCCCTCGTTCCCTCTTTATCCCTCACTCCCACCCCCTTTCACTTCCACCCTCCAACCGACTCCCCCCTCCCCTGTTACACTGTCTCTTTAATCTCTCAATTTTCCTTTTTCTTCCTGGCCTCCTCTCTCTGCTGATCGTCCCTCTTCCTTCTTACTGTTCCAACAACCCTCGCGTGGGCAACCCCTTTCCTAGGAGTAGTCCAACAACGCCAACTTGCTGGAATCGTGCACTGTGTTTCTGAACCACGTTATCGAATCGATGTATTATAAGCGCGACACTCCACTGGCTCTTCGTTGCTCGTGGAATAAAGAGCGTGAAATGACTGATCTTCGCAATGATATCGGAATTTCTTTAAACACTAAACCTACCACAACCAGTCAAATTACCGGTCTTGTCGGTCTAATTCCTACCTTCTTGAAGGTAGGTTTAGTGCTAGACACGTTCGATTAACTACCGAAAGATTCTTCGAATAGTCGAAAGCACGAACACCATTTTCTACGCCAGTATAGCCGATCTTCCCACGAACAAACAATTTCTACGCCACTTTCCTGACTAGATCTCACTGCCTCTACGGACCATGCGTTCCCGGAGACACGTAGCTGGCACCCCGGCCCCGTCTTTGCGGATGCTCCCGGTCTGGAAATGAATTCCACTTCGAGACGAGTGGAGAGAACGGTACGCGAGAGACGAATTCAAGGATACGCTCCCACGCGATGCATTCGCAGATTGATTTTCCAGGCATCACGATCGAGTATTCTCGATACGCCGACGTTAAAAAGTCCATTGAGCTACCGGTAATCCATCGAACCAACGCGCACTATCCTCTTAACCCTCAGATTCTGAAGGTCCATACACGAGGCAAACGAGATATATCTTCTCAGCTGCATCCTTGGATCAGTCTTCTCCTATTCTAAAAATAACATCCACAGTATCCTCCAGATGTGTGTCTCTTCACAAAAAAAAGGAACATGCTTCTTAATGGATGAAGTTCCTCCACCGAAAGGTACCTTCTCTGTCGCAGATCGTTCCTTCGAGTCCAGGAATCAGGGACAAGTACCTCCAGGCTGGGAGTCCGATGCAACGGCGCAAGAAACATGTGCAAGAACTTGTTGCTGCCGGATACTTATTAAACTTTCCCCGATGGCCTGAAGCGTCGCCTTTTCCCGGGCCCCCTCTTCCTTCCGCGGCCAGGACGACGGAGAGAGGTCCTCTATCTCATCCGCGTAGACAAGGGATAAACGTCAAAGGGAATCCAAACTCCTCTCCCTCTCTCCACGCAGATTCCCATCGGGCGACGCTGAGAAACTCATCCCTTCTCCCCCATCCCCCCTCCCTTCCGCCGTGGATCTCCGGCTCTAATGAAATACTTCGCGTGGTTGACTGGTTATTAAAGCGGTGTCCACCGTTCAAAGGAGCCGCCGATGATCAACGACTGGGATCCCCCTCCTCCAGCGATGGAATTATCGCAGCCGTCTCCGCGGACTGCGTGTGGCCTGGAAAATAATCCGGGAAAAATTGGTTTTAGTCGTGGACATACACTACCGTTCAGAATTAACCGTATACATACAGGGTGTCCCACCTGACGTGAACACATTCGATATCTCATTTAGTTTTGAGGATACCAACAATTTTTCTCAAGGTCAGAGTTTTCGTAATTTCACGATCATCGAAGTTTTTTTTTAGTGGAACGATATGTTTTTATCAGCGTAGCGGAATAGTTGATATTGAAACTAATTCAGTGAACTATAATAGTGTGACCGTCATGTGACCTTGAGTAGGAAAAATCTAGAAATGTGAGAGAGTAGATTTATGTAATGAAATAACAACCATAGAGAGATTAGTGTAAAAAGGTATCGAAGTTGATGGACATGACTTTGAGCATTTGTTAAAATAAATTTTTTGTAAACCGAAAATAAGTAGATATACTAAAGGTAGTCACGTTAAGTAGGACACCCTGTATGTGATGATAATGTAAATCTGTGAAATATTTTTTATTGGAAATGTCTTCATTAACTTTTATAAATGTATCTTATCAAAGGTGACAGTATTTAATTGTTATAGAAGAACGTAAGAGGTATACGTAGAATATACATATATATATATATATATATACAAAACATACAAGTTTTAGCTGACAAATATATTTTCTCTAATTTCAATAGCAACAAAAATGATAGTCTTTTTTATTGGAAAACACTAACATTCCAATATCGACGATGTACTGTGTCCAGACACTTGTGGACGGTAGTGTACATATACATACACAAAGGTGGGAGTATACAGGGAAACGGGGCGGCAAGAACCGTGGAAAAGTTTGAACAAGATTTTCCTTCCGTGGGTTCTCCAGGAACGTTCCCCCGAGCTCGATTTAATTGCGGTGGTATTTGCAAGCTTATCGAACTGGGGACGACCGCGGTGGGTCGCGCGTAGTATTGGAAGTATTTAGCAAAGTTGCGTTTTTAATTGGATGCAAATAAAATTCCCTTCTCCCTAATGACCGAAGGTTCTCGTTTGAAAACGTTGGGAGTCGCTCCCTCCGCTGCTAGCCGCGTCGTTTACTTTGCGAAGTGAATTTTTGCAGGTGAACGTCGTCGAGTGCTTTGAATCGAGACTTGTGGAAATTTAATCGATGACATTGTAGGAAAATAAGGTAAATTCAGGAGAAACGCCACAGTTTCAATATCTTATTATTACATATGTTGCGTCCTTTTATAATGCCACTTGTGTGCCTGAGACAAAAAAATAGGCATCCAGGAAACATTACAGAAAAAACTTGCGAATCATTTCGTCAGATTTTTGTGTATGCGAGAAATTAATGCATATTCCACGCGTAACGCGCACAGGACAAAGTTAGTACCTACTTTATTCTTTAATGTGGTTCTTTATTAATTAGTACACACAGTGTTTTTGATGTTTTTAGTTTGTTTCTTAGACGTGTGGCATTTCTCCCGTGAAATGAGGAGAGACGCCATATAAAGTGATAGGTGATCCGACTGACTTGTAATGATCGAATTATAGTATCAAGCCCTTAACAAATGCACAACCATAAATGAATACCTATTTTTCAGACGTTCAGAAATAGAAACAAATATTAGAATTCACGTAAGTGATTCTCAAGACTACTTATCAAATGAAAATTCCATGAGATAAGGGGTTAAATTATTATTATAATATTAAATTATAAATGTAATATTCCGTAGAGTTTCGGGAAAATTATTTTACTACCAAAAGGACAATTGACTGGATCAAATGCTGCCCATACCAGAAATGATTCCATGAGACTTGCACAACGTATGCCCTACAATGCAACAACTGTGAGAGAGAAAATATAGGAGAACAAAAAATAAGAAAGATATGTTAGTGCATGTAACATCTCACCCCACAAGATTTGGAAGAGATAGCCAAACTGTCATTTCTTAAAATTCTTGTTGACTTTGCGTAACAAAAGTTCAGAATTGTTTGTATTTTTTCGTAGTACATGAGTGTCTTATTGTAATAAAAAAGGTCGTATTAATTAGTACAATACCATGAAAGTTATGGTCTTCCAACCAAAAAGGTCGACGTCTCTTCTGAATTTAACCTATAGTAATCGTTACGTTTTATATATTGTTGTGTTTAGATAATGTTTTCCTGCGTCGCGAGGAAATGCAACGGCTTTAGAGATTGCAGTGCGAAGCAAATGTTCCCCTACCTGTTTATTACACTTTAATCCCGTTTTCATTAATTAGTCGCTGGGTGCACGCTAAATATTTCATCGCTTACATTTCCCTCGCGTTACTGCATTGTTAAGGGAATCCAATTAAACGAACGATTCATCTTCGTCCGGAGAGACAACGGCTGCATCTCTGTCTCTCTCTATCTCCCTCTTCATATATTTATTTTGTATCAGAAATATTACTCTCAATCAATCACGATATCTCGAATAATTAGTAAATCCGAATATTCTTAGTCTGTCTAACTGACGGCTTTATTGGATATAATTGTCGAGCCACGTTGCTGCAGTCAATTTGGCGAACCCAACACCAGGGAACAAGAAAAATCTACGGTCGGAACCTATGTACGCCGCGATAAGAGCCTTTATTTTCGGTGCAACGGAGCCGTGTTTGTCTTCTAAAGATAAGAAAACAGTGGAACATTGTTGCCCCGATAAAGGCAACCGTCGCCTTACCCGAAACAACAAACAAAAGGCGGGTTTTCCGGGAACGTAGAGGCGAACAAAAAGGCGAACACCATTAACGAATATCGCGTTAGCGGTCTCTCCAAGACTTCAAATTGTACGCATTCGATATACGAATATATGTCAAATACACTAACGGCTAAAAGTACATGGGACCTGGTCTGGTAATTAAAGACGGAGAAAAATATTGTTTTGCAAAAATTTGATAAAAGTAGAGGTGTATTGGAACATTATTCTCAAATTCTCGAAACATTCGAGTCTGAAAACCCTCAAAACTTGAAGTGCTAATTTTGTTTAATAAGTGGAATATTCTGTTTGAAGAACTGAAGTCTCAACAACATTTTTGCATAAATCTTCATTGACGATAGTTAAACAAGGTACAAACAAAAATATAATATATTCAGTTATCCTTTTTTTCAACACTCACACTTGATAGTTTAGGACTTCCTACTTTTTACTAGCACTGAATAATACTATAACACATATATAATTTTTCAAAATATATTCTACATGTATACAACTAACAGAAACCGGCGAAATGTATTTATTAAATTTTCATTACAGTATCAAGTGAAAAAAATTGTAAAAAGCAACCTTCACTATTTTCTTCGCGATTCCGACCAATTGCAACTTTTTCAAATTTTGTTTACACAACATTTAGTAAACTATTGTTCCTAACTTCACAAAATAACTCAA